CCCCAAAACCCCAAAACCCCAAAACCCCTGACAATTACCTAAATATTGAAGAGGAAATACGGGTGCTAGACCTCCTTCTCAGGACTCTCTGATAGTACCAGGTGAAAGTAGGCTGTCTGAAGGCTGTTCATCTTCATATTCAGAACCATTAGCAGCTGGGAGACCTCCTTCTTGTCAGCAAGGGACTTTTGTAACTAAGAAAGTTTAAACTCTTGTTAATTGAAATAAAATTGATTGATTAAGATTGGGCGTGACTCTAATCGCTAGTCGGAGAATTCTGACCAGTGGATCTTCAAACCTCTCACAGAAATTTTGAAGGCGAGTCTAGGGAGAACAATCATAAAAATTATGAAAGGTATAAAGTTCAAACTACATTTCGAATTTCTTCGAAAATGACCTTACTTGGAATTTGTTTATGCATTTATCTATCGATTGAGATATAGCAGAGACTTCTCTCTTCAATTCCTAGGGTATTAGTCTCTAAGCTTACTTTAGTGAAAGATTCAGAGTTAGTAGCATCATTATCTTGGCATATTTGAAGTTCTTCCTTTAATAATGGGAAATTAAGACAATTATTCTCTTCAACTTGGGACTTGACTTTTCCTGTATCTTCAAAGGAGGAATTATGCATCCTGCTCTCTTGAGATAAGTCAGACTTTCTGTTATTGGCCTTTTCCACAAGTTTGCCAATCTTTGAGTCTCTCCTGATATGGGAAAGCCTCCTTTTTGTCTCAACTTTTTCAGTGAATTCATATTTTGTTTTGATGTTATCTTCTTCATTTCTTGTAGGAGATCCTATATCAAGTCAAAGGTATCTTCTTCATGATCACTTTCGTGTTCCTGGTCAGATTTGTTGCCGTAGTCAAGCTGGGCTTCTTCAAAGAGCACTGGCTCTGAATGTAGCCTATCATTGACGCTAGTTGATCTGCAAGGATGTATCCCAGTAAGTTTCGTGTCGAAGTTGAATGGTCTCTTTTCAGGTCGTATCCATTCCTTTCTTTTGGGTTCTTCACGTTTACCTTCATCGATATGGCCGAATTCATTTTCATCTGAGATTTCGTCATCTTCTTTGATATTTGAAAGAACTGTACGGTCTAAGGAAGGATGGTTACTAATCAGGTTCTTTTGACTCTCCCTGAATTTCATAGCTCTGACTATTCTTAGAGGCAACTTCCAAATGTAGAATCAGCCCAGGCTCGAGGTGGTGATGAGGTACTTGTGGTCAGGAGTTATCTCCATGGTTAACATTGGTTCCCCGCAGTTGAAAGTTTCCATGATACTTGAGTTAATTCTGTCGATGATATGAACATCGTTGGTTTTCCAGCATGAAGTAATTACGAATGTATTCGTTTTATCTATTTCGACTTTGACAAAATCTCTCATTTTAGGATGATTTTCTAAAGCAGTCTTCCCCAGAGCCCATGAATTATTGGACTTGAGCTCTCCAAGTTGGACTTTGGAGTCCATTCCAATAGCAATTTTGTTGTCTCTGACTGCAAGCGCATAGAATTTCTGCGGAGCCATATTTTTGATTATGGGTGCATTGAATCTACATTCTGGTAAGATTTCCCTGATTCATAAGTTACTTTGAGCATCGATGTAGACCAGTTTGAAAATATCTTTTCCTGACTGAATTCAATCTAGAGAGATGATGGGCAATGAAGAGGATTTAAAGCTATCGCAGTTATGCAACTCTTCTTCTGAATATATAAAGCCTTTAACAGTTTTATCACGACTGCAGGTTATAATCATTCCATCTCTAGGATCATCAGGATCTTGAGTTTTAATGGTGGAGATATCCAAGATCTCATCTTGGTGAGATTCGCAAATAGACTTAAGAAGGAAAGTCTCTGGATCAAATATCCACACATATCCTCAAGAATCCCCACACAGTATTATATCTTCCTTTTGCGAGTGTACTTTCTGGATGACTCTAATTTGCCCTAAATGATCTCTTTGTTCTTCATCAATTTTTAACCTTTTCCTTGATTTTCTTAAATGAGAGAAATCGTCTCAGAGAAGAGCTGAATTTGATGGAGTACAGCTTCTACCATGCCCATTCTTCATGATCATCCACTTTCTCAAGGTTTTATCAGTTGAGCCGGTGAGAAAGGCGAAGCCTTTCTCAGAAGTCTCATTTGGTAACGTCATGATATTGTGAATCCCTTTGGCATGATTTTGTATTATGTGTACAATTCTAGAGTCCAAATCTGTTTTCCTATTAAATATTGCAATCGTTTTGTCAGAATATATGCCAATCAACCTGTTTTTATCGAGCTTCAAGCCCATTGTGTCAGGGTATTCCTTCATATCTGGCTCTTCGGATGCTCAGAAGCCATAATGAGGAGGAAGCGGTTGTTCATATAACTTAGTTGGAGCATCTATGTTTCCTATGTAGCTGTGTCCTCCTAAGCAACCTATAGAGAAGAATTTTTCACATATTGCAAGTGAGGTAGGAATATCTTCAAGGATAGTTTCTAAGTCATATATGTTGGTGACTTCACTTGTGTTCTCGACTTGAAGCAACTTATTTGTCTTCAGAAAGTATCAGCAACATACCTGATTCTGTCAGAATCATGTCTAAGAATTTAGTACTTGAGCCCACAGGGAGAATAACATTCGTCGCCTTCCAGTTGGTCTTTTCTTCTCACAAATGAAGACTATCAGATGTAAGTATCAGAAAAGAATCTGAATGTTTGCTTGTGAACATCAATTGTTTAATCTTCTTTGTAAATCTCTGTTGCTTCCTTCCCTTCTTATTTTGTGAAGCTGAGTACCTCATATTTTTGGATTTCCTTCTTGAATTTATCCCTTATCGTACCATTAATGACAAAGAATGAGCTAGGATGAGTTATACATTCTGAACTTACTTGGTGAGGCTTAATCTTTCGATTGATGAAAATGATGTCTTCACTACAGCCTTGATGCTATATCGAGAGTCCTCTGTAGAGTACACGAAATGATGTAAAATTCAGTGGCGAGTCAGAGACTCTCCAGCTAGGAGTGTTCTCCCATCTCCAGAGAACTCCAGACATGAGTATGGCCTAGATTTTGGATTGGAAATGTAGTACTTTTGAGCATAATCATCTGTGCTTAAGAATATAATGAAACATCCTCATATATAGGCAAATTCTCCTGTCAAAGGAGAAATTGAAAACGATTGAGGCTTCAATCATGAAATCCCTCCAATGTAGACGAGTTTCTGCTTGCTTTGAGATTTTTTATTCATATTTTCAATTAAAGTCTTAACTTTTGGGGTTTTGGGGTTTTGGGGTTTTGGGGTTTTGGGG